GAGTTTCCCCTGTTACCATTTTAAAGACAGACTAACTTTCTTCACAACATATGTATTATAGGGACACAATCTGAATACTTTCTTTGTTCTTGAGCTTTTGGTGCAAAAGGATTGGAGTTCACTATTTACATTTCTAAGTTTTTGCTGCTTCTGCATTTTTTTGTGAATTATGATTGGCACCATATTCACAATTATTCACTCCCTCCGCCACTGACACTCAGTAGTAACGCTGTGTACAATCTACATGGTGCACTACAAAAATTAAACAGCACCTTCCAAACCTACAACATTATCATAAAGAGGGATAAAGGCAGCAAATACAAGGGAATACCTCTCCCTGTAAATTCCTCTCCAAGCCACACAATATCTTGATGTAGAAATACAGTTCCTTCATTGTCACTGGGTCAAAATCCTGGAACTTTCTCTCTGACAGCATTGTAGGTGTATATCAAATGGACTGCGGCAATTCAAGAAGGCAGTTCACCACCACCTTCTCAAAGGCAACAAGAGTGAGAAATAAGTGTTCACCCAGCCAGCAACAACCAAATTCCACAAATGAGTAAAGACATGTAAAAGAACATTGTGTTTCTCTGTAAACATTTCCTAGCCTCTCAGCACAAAAAATATTCCTTGTTTCATTATCCACTTCGGCTGGGCAACATAATTTCACACTTTGTTACGTTCTATTCCATCTGTCGTGTTCTTGCCTCTTTGAATCTTCCTCATTGTTGACTTTCCGACCTAACTCTGCACCATCAACAAACTTGGATTGAGTACAATTAGCTGCTTCATTAAAGTCTAAGATATGGATGATAAATAGCTGAGACCCAAGCACTGGTCCTTTGCCAGTTACATTTTGCACACCTGAAAATGCCCTCTTCATTCTTGCCCTTTTCCCTCTTCATCAGCCACTTCTTAAATCCATGCTAAACTCTACCCCAATCCTAGGAGACTTAATTTTGTGCAATTATTTCATTAAATGCTTTTTGAAAACTACAAGTACACTTCATCCACTGCCTCTTACCAGTTACAGTCTCAAAAAATCTCATACATTTGTCAACATTATTCCTCTTTCACAAATCAATGTCGACTCTGCCTAAAACTATAATTTTGTAATTGCCCTATTAACATGTCCGAAGTAACAAACTGTAACATTTTCCCTTACAGGGCTAAACTCTGAATAATTACCAGGGCATATCTTGGCCTTCATAAACAGAGATTTATAATTCAGCATTTCTTCTCGGCTTTTTTGAACTTTTGTAACGTTCTGGGTAAACCAGAACTAGAATACGGCATTCAGTTTGTATCATCACAATTTAGGAAGGATGAGGGGATTTTTAAGAGGAGATTAATCAGAATGGTTCTAGAAATGATGGATTTTATTTCCAATGTTAGGTTGGATAAGCTGGGGTTGTTAGTTTTGGAGCAAAGAAGACTGCAGGGAATTTTAACAGTGTGTAAGATTGTGATAAGGTTTATATAAGTTAGACAAATCAAAATAGTTCACTGACAAGTTTATAACATTATGCTGTGCATAGATAGGGTTGACGGTCAGAAGCTTTATCCCCAGAGTTGAAATGTCTAATACTAGGGGGCATGCATTTAAGCTAACAGGGGGAAAGTTCAAAGGAGATGTGAGGGGTAAGTTTTTTTTACATGGAGTGTGGTAGGTGCCTGGGACGCACTGACAGGTGTGGTGGCGGAGGCAAATAAGATAAGGGCGTTTAAGGGCTTTTCGATAAGCCCATGAATAAGCAAGCAATGGAGGGATATGGACCAAGGGCTGGCAGAAGGGATTAGTCTAATCTAGTGTCATATTCAGCACAATACTGCGGGCTGAAGGGGCCTGTTCCTGTGCTGTTCAGGTCTATATTCTATGTTCTAGTTGATGGAAACAACGATAGAAGGATTTGAGGAAGAATGTGAGGGAAATATTATGCAGCAAGTAGTAATTATCTGGAACTCAAAGGAAAGGAAGATGCTCAATGATTTTTACAATGAATTTGAATGGGCCCCTGAGCAAAATAAACTTGCAGGACTATAGGGATTTAACAGGAGAATGGGAATTTTTAAACATTCATTCTTTCATGAAATGTGGGTGTTGATGGCTGGGCCAGTCTTTATTGTCTAATCCTACTGCCCTTGAGATGGTGGTGAGGAGCTGCAATCTATATGTTGTCGATGCACCCACGGTGCTGTGAAAATGTGAGTTCCAGGATCTAGACCCAGTGTCATTGAAGCAGCGGCGATATTGTTTCAAGTTAGTATTCTCAATGGCATGGAGGCAGACTTGCAGCTGGCCATGTTCCCATGTATCTGCAGCCTTGTCCCTCTAGTTTGTAGAGGTTTGGGGGGGTAACTGCCAAGATTACTCTGCGGAGAGTTTACATGAATCCAATGCACCTAGAAGATCTTGTTTTGAGCCTTCATGACTATGACCTGACAGATATTATTCACACTGGCCTATAGTTGTCTGTTTTCTCTCTTACAACTTTGAATAGCCTGGTTATCTTTGTAACATTTTCTTCTCAGGAACAGCTCCTTAAAATAAGAAATACTGAAACAACAAAAAAGCAATCTATTACCTTGTTGTCATCTCTCTTAAAACTGAGGATAAAGGTTGTCAGGCCCAGGGAATAAGTTGCTACTTGGTCCCATTAATTTCTTTGGTGCTATTTTTATGTTCATACTGATTTCTTTAAGTTCCTTATCCTTGATTCGTCTTTTTTCTAGAAAGTATTTCTTTCCATACTGTGAAGACAGATGGTAAATAGTTCTTTAATGTTTCTATTTCCTTATTCCCCTTTATATTCCCACCTGTGGTGCTGTTGACTTGCATTAATCTGTTCCTATTTACAAGTCTATAGAAATATTTGGTATCTGTATGTCTCTTACGAGTCTATTCTCAACATTTTTTTTCAGTTTTATTCTCAATTTATTTTTGCTGAATTCCAAAGTTCTCAGGTTTACTGCTCTTTCTGGTAACATTATGATCTCTTTCTTTTATACTATCTTTGGGATAATCCATGTGACAAATATTGATCTTATCAAATCCTGCAATCCCACCCTACTTTTGAGAAAAATTCCAGACCTCCCACAGCAGAGCTGTCAAACTGGGGAGGGGATGGGGGATGGTCAGCACACCTGCCAATTCCCCAGGCTTCCAATGCCCAGAATGTGCTGCCCTCACCCCCACTCAGTGATGACAAAATATCAGTTTCTCAAACTTAACACACAACTCCCAACGTATCATCACAAGCCTTTGAATTTAAGCAGAATGTGGAGCAAAAATTATAGTTAGGGTCATCAAAACCAGTTTTTAACAAAAAAAATGCAGTCTTCAATCTTTAAAACATTAATATCCTAGAACAGCATAAAATCGAAACAGAACTTAATTTATTCAAGTCATTGTAAATTTATGGCTGCAATGACACATTTTGTTATACATGATATAATTCCACTCGTGCTGTGAAGCAGCAAATTCTCCCCCTTCCTGCAAGATGTCTGCCGAATGTATTTTGTGAGCTAATGAAGCTGGGGTGTGGCATTTTAAGTTAGAGGTATCATAGTGAGTTCATTGAAATGGTGATTCCACTGCAGGAAAGTGTTTTGTGTTGTGCTGTGAAGCGCCAGCTGGTATGTCTGAACAAGAAAACATTATTCCGGCCTTGAAAGAAACACCAATTATATATGGTTATTTGACCAAGCAAACAGGAACCATCTTAATCAACAAAAACAAACTGCCCGCAACATATTCGTCTGGAACATTGCAGTACCACCAAGGCTATGATTAACCAAATTACTGTCTATGTTCTGAAGCACCTGGTGCCATTTAAACAGATAAGTGCCAGCACTGAGTCTCTAAGGGGTACAAGAGCTCTACTACATTACTTATGAACAAACAGATATATCTTTACAGATGACAATGATCAGGAAGACTGAAATACTTCTCATCTCTTCTTTAGTTGGCAATGTCAAAAGTGTCCATCATCCGAAATAGAAGATAAATGTGTCCGAAAATGACCATGAATTAGTGAAAGATAAGCAAACTGTAAGCCCAATTTCTGTAACTAGAGCTAATCATGTTGGGTGTTGTCTTTTCATGACATTCAGTGAACTGAGACAAGGCTGAAGTGGGGAAATTATGTTTTCTTCAGTGTGTTACTGCTGCCATCTCTTCTGACAAAAAAAAAAGCAGACTTTTTGAGAATGAGACTTGATATATAAAAGACAGTCAAAGGCTTTTTGCTTAAAACTTTATATATAATGCCAAGACCTTCCTAAGGCCAAAGACAAAAACACTGACTGTGATTTCTGACAGCCCTTCCGATCTCAGTTGGGAGCCATAAGATCACTGGGCAAAAAGTGGATTTGTCTCATTGATCCTCATTATATTGGATTTCGACTGCCAAATATGCATTAAGTGCAAGATAGTCGTTAAATTCTTACACTCTCACTCACTCTCACTAGAAATGGTCATTGCTTGGCACTTGCACAATGTAAATGTTACTTGCCATTTATCAGTCCAACCTTGTATGTTGTCCCAAGTCTTGCTGCATGTGAACATGGACTGTTTCAGTATTTGTGGATTTTTGAATGGGACTGAACACTGTGTAAAATTATCAGTAAATATGTTGAGGGTAAGGGCATTGACGGAATGCAGTACAATTATGTTTGGTCATGGAACACTACTCTGAACAATTCATGTAATTGGAGTAAATCGCTAATTGAAGATTTGATCTTGATTATATTGTGTAATACAAAAACATTTGAATATTTATCAGTCAGGCAATGCAAAATGTATCACTTGATAGCTATTTAGAGCAATAGGGGCCAGAATTGAAAAGACGAAAGAATACGATGCTCAATGTCCACTAGCTTCAACTTGTGCAACAAGGTACATCTTTCTATTTGTGTGTGGTCATGTTTCTTGCATGCTATAGATTTGTGACAGATACGATCAAGTCTTTATAAGGCACTCATGAATGAACTCTACTTACTACACAACCACTTGAATCCAGTTTGCGATCGGAAATGCAGCAGAAGTTTCTACTACAGCCACCATTGTCCTTTGTGCAATCTCTCACAGGACCAAAAGAGTCAAGCAGAACCTCAAGGCTGTCAAAGGAAGCAGAGATCATGGCTTCTTCTCTGCAAAATATAAATGAATAGAGAGATCATTAGTAGAGCATTGCTTTAAATATCAATGACAAATTAAGTCCTTTTATAAAAAATGATTTATCCCCAAGGTAAGTGATAAAAATCCATGTTGGATAGCTTCTGTTTTCTGTCAATTAACTATTCATACTAGCAAACTGGATACTGGCCGGTTTTGTAAGAACGTTGTTAACCCATATCTTAAGAAAGACAAAAAAAGCTGCAAATGCTGGAAATCTGAAATAAACATTGAGAATGCTGGAGAAACTCAGCAGGTCTGGCAGAGTCTATAGAGAGAGAGGAAAACAGAGCTAACATTTCCAGTCTGGCATGACGATTCTTCAGAATTGAAAGATGTTGCAAAGGATCATCTTGTGCCATTTCCACCGCCTCCAACAGGATACCACCACCAAACACATCTTCCCTTCCTCTCTGTTGTCAGCTTTCCACAGGGACCATTTCCTATGTGACACACCGGTCCACTCCTCCTTCCTCATTCCCGAATGACAACTTCCCAATGCAGTCACGGAAGGTGTAACAGTTTCCCTTTGTTTATCTCTTTCCTCTGATTATCCAGGGCCCCAAACAAACCTTCCATGTGAAGAGCTGGATGAACACAGCAGGCCAGGCTGCATCAGAGGAGCAGGAAAGCTGACATTTCAGGTCTGAACCCTTCTTCAGAAATTTCTGAAGAAGGGTCCAGACCCGAAATGTCA